TAAACATTCTTAGTAGTTATAAGGTCAAATAAATATAGTTAATAGACTTATTTAAGTGACATTTGTGCTCTGTTTTTAAATTATAAGGGAATTATAAGTTCTTCAAGAATGAATATGCGAAGTCACTATTATCAGTATTTTAGAGCTTACATACTCTGGTAAAGATCCCAAGTTAATCAGAATTCTTTATGTACAGATATTTCAGAAATTGCCTGTTTGCAGCTACACATATAATGATCTTGATGATTTCATACAGAATTTCTCCCTGTGGGCAAAACAACACAAAATAGCATTTTCAGTCAAGTATTCTTGAAAAATAAATATCCAGCAGTAAAGGAGGTTTGACAATACTTAGAGTATACAGTTAGTGCGCATGAGCTTCTGACAGTCTCTGTTCCACCTGAATCAAATACCCTTGTCAAGTGAAAGCTGTAGTGTCACCTGTCAGATAGGCTAGTGGAAATGTACACTTCTCAGTTGTGAAGCCTTTAGGGTTTTTAATTTCTCATACAAAGTATTACATTATGTTGAATTATAGATCAGTCCTAAACATTTAAGGAAGAATGAATTATATCTGTTTATTTTCTCAGATCTCTGACCAGAATTGCTGTAAATGAACGCATGAGGGAGGAAATAGAGGAAAATCAAAAGGTTTGTTTGAATTCCTTTTTTTAAAAATTGCTATACTGATAACATAACATTAGACTTTGGATCTTCAATTTTTCTACAAAAAGAAAGTGTTAACTTGCACTTTTTGATTGCTAAAACAGTTCAGGTTTTTCCATTTTTATATTGTCTACTTTATATAGTATACAGTTTGTGATTTTAGTCAATCTTCCCTGATATAGATCGTACTTACTTCCTCATTAACCCTGTATACTCCAAATTTTCTGCCCACGTTGTATGGTTTTCTTCACAAGACAGAGAGAATAAAGGCTATGAGATAATTCTTCAGTTTCTTATTATTATTTTGCTTAAAAGTTTGTGAAGACTAAGTCAAGTTTACACCACTGAAACTTTATTAGAATCCTATAGCATGTAGTACACTATCACTAGTTTGATAAGATTCTGTTAAATGTTCTCTTAAATTACCTTAAGACCCCAAATGATCTTAATTGTGTTAATACTTAGGAAGTGCTTGAGAACACTGCCTGGTTTTATTACATGGGACTGGTTTGGCTTTAAGTAAGATAATATCAGACATGCAGGGCCCTAAACAGTAGGAGTTCATTTTTCTCACATAAAAAGAAGTCTCAGAATAGATTGCCACAGACATGGTTTTTTCTTTTATGGTTGCAAAATGGCTGCCACAGCTCCAGACCTCTTACCTGTATTCAAAGAAAGAGGTAGGAAAACGGTATCAACCACATCCCTCCTGACTAAAGCTTTCCTGGAACACTTTAACTGATTTCCACTTCCATCTCATTAGCCAAAATTTTTATTCCTAGCTACAAGGG